TTACAGATTTATCGATTTAAGTTGATTATCTTTTCAGCTCAGCTTCATATCCTCCGCCTAGAGTTTGAAGCAGATATTGGGTCAGTAACTAAAATTCTACCCGAAACTACGAGTAAAAGGGCGATGATTTAAGGATGCAATAAGTATAAGTGAGTTATGTAACTCGATGATCTCTTAATACACGCGTTTCACACTCTTTTGTAAATCGAAGCGCGTCCTTAGCTCGTTCAATGTGAATTGTTGAGCGCAGACTTACGAGAGAAAAAACATGTTTCGTTCTCCGGCAAACTGTTCATCAATATGTCTAACCCTTTAGAATCATGGTCAAGCATGTGTTTTATGTTGATACGATTTCACCTAGATACCGTAAAGCTCTTGAATAAATTCTATTGTTGGGTATTTCGCACATTTTGCTGCAACGATGGCAGAGCAAAACCTTCTTTCAGTCTTACACAGTGCACAACAATACAAAAGAAGCCAAACTTCACGCAGACAGTGTTAGAAACTCTCTGTCTTCCAATTCGATATTGACCCATTAAGGATGATGTCTGAATTTGCCCACTGTTAATTCTGCATATCAGTGTAGAACCATATGGATTGTGAGCTGTGAACGTTATCAAAAAGGAATAACAACCATAGTGAAACTAAGCGTTAAAATAAATAAAAGAGATCAAAAATATCAAATGATTGCAAATAATAAAATATAAATCACAAATAAACTTAATCAAATACATTTTGCATAGCTCGTATTACAGAATTTGCCCCAAAATAAGAACAAAACAACATATTCCAGAATATACTTGTGGTACAATGTGTATTTAACAACGAAACTTAGTTTTAATACATTATACGTCTAAAAAAAACTTACTATTAAAAAAAATAATTCCTTTTTTTGTGTTATAGTAATCTATACAGATTTTAAAAAGATGTCTCTTGCTGCTAATGTGTACGAAAATCACAACGTTCATGTCAACGATAATTAAGTTTTACATATTTTATGTAATTGCTAACAGCAAAACAATTACATTAGTGAAGTTATTTTTCTTGCTGAATGGAACTTGAATTGATATTAATTTGTTTTCAACGCAACTTTTCTTGATGAGCTTTAAAGTACACTCTTAAATAGTTTTTTTATGATTCAATGGAGTGGGTCATTGCTGTTTGTACTTTTCGGAAGAAAACATAATGGTTACATTTCTAGAATTTAACGTTTTGATAACAGCCAAGGTAATGGAAACACGTGCCTCCATGTGATTTTTGTTTGTTTTTGTTTTTGTATTGTTTAACGGACAATCTGCAATGCGAGTCATTAAGTTAAGGTCAACAGTACTGTATAAAGAGACATTCACGAAAATAAACACATCAAACCAAAACTTAATAGCTTAAAACATGTAAAGGATAAAAGACACCAATCAATATCGAACAAATTGACTACACAGAAACTGTATCAAAAAAACATTTCATAGACGGTACATCATAAAATCTGTCACGCATTTGTTTGAAATCAGCACATTCAATCATAAAGTGTTTGGTTCGGTTTGGTTTAGTATACAGTTAAAGTATGGTTTTGAGGGATAAAGCAAGTTTCTGGTTCCTCGCGACCAGGGCTATTGCCCGAGGAGAAGCCTTCAGTAAGACAGAATTCTTATTTTTAACAGCATAAAAATAAACAATTGAAGACTACAGTACAACACTATCACTTGGCAAGAGTGGGGTCGCTGTCTTAATTTGGAGCCCCGCATTCCTCGACGCTGATTGGTTGATTATTCGATCAAGCCACACCCATCCTCTGAACTAATTATCTAGGTCTTAGTTCTCCCAACTAACGCACCCTTTTTAGGAGCTATTTCACTAATGTGAGGATTTCAGGGAAATGGCCAATTATATGATATATCCTTCATATTGTGTAAAATAAGTAAGGTTGATAATATTGTTTAACGTCCTATCAACAGCTATGGTTATTTAAAGACGGCCTCCCCTGTTTGCAAGATGCATGCGTGTAGTGTTTGCGTGTGTGTTTTGGGATGCTGTGATATGTTCGTGTTTGTCTTCTTGTGATAGCGTAGAACTGATGCCGACTTTATAGTGCTACATCACTGACACATACTGCCGAAGACACCCAGCAGTACACCCCACCCGGTCACGTTATACTGACAACGGGCGAACCAGTCGTCCCACACCTAAATTGCTGAGCGTTAAGCAGAAGTAGAAACTACCATTTTAACGACTCTGGTATATCTCGTCAAGAAAGCAGAACCCAGTCTTCCTCACAGTGGCGAACGCTCAACTAAAGGCCAAACGTGAGGCATTTTGTAGGGAGACGTTAGAAAGGAGAAAGTCGTTTAAAAAGAAGAGAAAAGAGAAGATCCCAAATTTAGTCGCCTCTTACAATCATGCAATGGGAGCAGCTGGTACAATTCTTACGCCCTACCTGCAGGGACTAATATTTCAACTACAAGGTCACATCAAACCTCGGGGACTTTTCACACCCAAACAATTCCGCATTTTCCATAGCAAGATGATTAAAATGAAAGCAGATCAGGGAAAAAACTGAACATAATCAATTGGATGAACTAGGAAGCTTCTCTCCTTCTGGGAAGAGATTGTAAAAAGCTATAAACATATAAAATGACACAGGGGTTTGTATGTGTGTAAATCCATTTATGTATATAATGTGTGTATTGTCAACCGAAAACCTATAAGGACCAAATAAATGACGTCAAAAGTCTTAGAAGTACACATGGCTTTTGAGATATGGTCGTTTTCATGTAACATTATCCATTCAACATCACCTGGGATTGAGTATTTGACCTTCTAGCAGCACATCTATGTCACTTATTTTTTTCCCTTTCGGTCATCAGCAACTCCCAATAGGTCATTACAGAGTCATATTGTACAAACAAGGTCGTTTTAATGCAAATAGAAATTCTGCGTTACTTGATGTATTCATCTCTCATTTAAGAACACAGACAAACCTCTAAATCATAACTGTCTGTATAAGACCTTTGTTAAACAGCAGCACACTGACGAAAAGTTCAACCATACTGTGTCGTACGTGCAAATCATTAATATCTTTTCGAAGACCATCGTACGCAGCAATTAACGTAAATATAAATTTGCATTATTTGCAGTTCTTGAGTAACAAAAGTACACCTTGTCAGTGCATTTATTTTCTCATGAATATATCAGGTTATTAGTAACGTTGGCTTTAGGAGGCGTCGCAGGGGACATACAAATACAGATTTTGTTTCAATTTTTTCTTTGCTGAAAATATCATGTCACCATTATCAGACAACTGTTCTTTGGAACGTCCAATCAAAGAAGAAAACGAAAGCCAGCACGTCAGAAGACACGGTAGTCAAGTGGTAGGACGCCGAGCTCGTGACTGAAGGGTTGCGGGTTCAAATCCCTTTATGCCACCCTGTTGTATCTTTGAACAGGATACGTTACTCCGCTTGTTCCAGTCTACTCAAATGAGTACATGGTTAGGCAGTGCTTGAATTTTTGAATACTAGCTGTGACTGCGTAATGGGAGTTGAGATAGATGCCTGTATATGCTGGATGCAAATAATGACGAGTTGTTTGCGAACCGCTTTGAGTCGACCTACAACCTAAGTTGTGATAAAGCGGTGTATAAGAATCTCGAATATAATTATTTATTATATTAGTACAGCCACAAGGTTAAGCAGGCTTCACAGAGTGGTAACAGTATAAAGTTGGCATCAGATCCGCGCTATCACAAAGAGGCAAATACACCAACATACCCAGTCTCCGCAACAAACACATGGAGGCACGTCCTAAAATGACATAGGTTTTCGCCCCTGGAAGCCGAGAAGGCTAATAATGATATGTTGTTCATTTTATTTGAACAAAACTGTATCAATTTTTACTAATACGGAAGGAAGTGTCATGTTGTCGTATTAAGGTGTCATCCCATATATAGGATCTTGGTGAACTCGCCATAAATGAACACCCTCTGATGTTGTGAAAAATGTTACCCCTTTAATGACCAGTCTTTCTATCCATTAGGTGCTTTCTTGTTATACACTCTATCGGAACATCATTTTATACATATGTATGAGATTTGTTTTGCATTAAATGCTGTATACAACATTATTTATGTGGGATATCACTTGTCGCATTGATCTGGGATGAGAATCACTTGCTAACTTGAATCGACCACGATATTAACTAACAGATTATTTTCAAATTCTTTCAATCTCAAATTTCCAGTATTTCAATGACATATTTAGACATATAGAGCGATACAAAGCACACCGGCGGACTCATCTTAAAATAAGGCATCGTATTTGACGTTATAAGCATTGCTTTTGTATGAGTGAGGGCGCACATTGTCTCGTACCAACAGGATTATGTTACAAGATTCAGAGAATATCGATATCATATGATTTATAAACCAAAAGATGCGTCCTTTTATTTGTTCAAAGTACGTTCCGGAGAACAGTATTCTTTTCACACCTTTTTGTATATGTATCTAAACAACTACTTAATGCTCATCTAGTTTGGTATCAGTAGAAGATTATAAAGTGAGGTACTGAACGTTAAGTTAATACAGGCGATTGTTTTTTTTTATGACAAATGCATTTCGTACATTGACCAAATATAATTGCAAATTAAACTTCAAACCAAAACATATAATGACCACTTAAAACGATTCCGTTTTAAATATTAAATTCCCTTTTGGTAACGAATTTGGTTGGTTTTACTTTATTGAACGTCATCTTAACAGCTGAGGTCATGTAATGAATTTCAATGAGATAGCACCATAAAGTTGGCATTAGATCCGAGGCAAGTACGCCGGCACACATACACACACGTACACTTACACAATACACATGGATGCACGTCCTTAATTGACCTTAGCTGTTAAAAGGTCGGTAACCAAAATATTCAATCAAACCTAATCAAATCGATCAAATCATGTTCCTATACAACATTTAAAGGTTCATAAATCAGCATGCAAAGTGTGATAAACTTACTTGTATAACTCAGCTGAAATATGTCCCGAATATCCGTGACTTTTCGGAATGCATAAATTTTAAATTTGTATTTTGTCGCATTGGCAGTTTCCATACCATAGGAAAATGCTCTTTCCAATTCCGGAGAATTCTCATCAAATATGGCACCTGCAAGGTAGAAAAAAAGAAAAACATCTTATCAAAACTTGTCAATAGAAAACGAAAAATGAACTATTTTTACAATGAATAGTAACCGTGACCTTGGCCCTTTGAAATACGAACTTATTCTTATCATTCTCACATCTGATATTTGTGTACAGTTTGATCAAAACCTTTGATGAAATGGGGTTGAAAAAGTTATGACACTGAATTGGGACTGGACGCGATGCGACGGGAGGGGACAAGAACAACACTTTTACCTTTTTAAAATGGCGGTGGCATAAAGATATATACTGCCACAAAAAGCTTAGCAAATGTTCACTAGAAAGTATCTGTTTGCTAAATTTGTTTACTTTATAATATATGCTATATGCTGATCAGCAAATTACCTGTTGTTTTTTTTTATCTTAAAACCAGGAACGTTAATTCTTAGCCTGTTTTACTTAAGATAAGTCGTTAACGAGATCTTTTATGGTGTTTATTTTTTAGATAAAAATAAAAAATACATATTTATAGATATGTTGTGCTTGTAATGATGCTGAAGTGTATTTTGTCCATGTCTGTTGCTAGTATGGCTCTTGTTGTCCTTGTCATTTGATACTGGTTTACTTTGTCCTTAGTAGGCTCTTTGTTCGTTACATGTCAGGAAAATGTTATCTGATGTAATACCGTGCTGGGTGCCTTCAGCAGGGATTGCAATGCGAGAGCACTCTAAAGTCACCATCAGATATGTGCTACTAAAGGTCGTAAATGTGCCAACTAATCGCCTCTAGCACACAGACACAAACACACGCATACATTACAAACCTGGAGAGACCTCCTTAAATGGCATTAACTGTCATTTTAATTGGCTACTTAACCCAGTATATCCAAACCAGTACCAACCAAATGTTGACGCTTGGGGTACGTTCTGTCTTTGTATGCTGAAGCTGTTTTATTGTTTTTTTTTAAATAGTTAAGGTGATAGTGTGTGGTCCATGGAGATATCTACCCTGTTCATTATCTTACACCAGGGTCAAATGGTTGTCGGGAGACCAGTATATGTCCATTGGTCTAGGCAAGCTTGTACATTAACCCGCATGTGTAATCCCCATTGACTTGCCACTGCTCGTGGTGTTCTATAGAAACACGCTACTGATTTATGTTAAAGACCGGGCATGAAGACCCGCATTTCCTGGAATAATCGTTAATGGTATCACTTAATGACCGTAAGTAGAAAATTAAACGTTTCCCTTTTTAACTTCTTTTCGGGGGGATTTTAAGACGAACATGATAAAAAAGATATGTTGCATTCCAAATGAAGACTTGAGAGCCTTAGGGCTTCCTGATCAATTTCTTTCTGTAGTTATTTGACAACAGTCACATGTGATGATTCTGAAGTGTTTATCTCAATCCTGAGTGGCGCCAATACTGTAAACAACCTTGAATTATGGCTTGCGTTACACCTAAAGTCCTTAATGGACTTAGTAAAAATAATTATGCATTGTTAAATTATAAGAAACTTTGTTTACTATTTTGAAATATGAAAACCTTTATGTTTTGTAGAGGTTGATTGATATAGGTAGTTCAATCTAACTTGATATTAACGATATGTATCTTGTATACTTATGGGTAAGGTTGTGCCGGATAAAACATTTTGTAAAATATAATTTTACTTGTATTTAATGAAGAAACAATTTCAATGTGCTTTTTAGACTGAAGCAAAGTACCGCATCATGTCTGATACAAAACAACGTACATTTCCGTTTAAGAGAGCTTCACTTTTTCTCCCTATTAAATTATGCATTCGGTTGTATCTATTTTAATAGTTGTAAGTTGTCAAGTCGCCTCTATTTTGTTTCATCTTTGATTTAATCATTCGTCACCGGTTTGGATGCCATTACGAATACGGTCTTTAAGATCAATGTCATTTGTTGTACAGTATTTGTAGCAATGTTATGCAAGTCGCACATAACGAGACGCTGTTTGTTTCTCATTTAACATTGTGTAATCTATATTGTTTCAAAAGTTGTTTTGTGGGATAAGAATTAAGGAAATCAATTTTACCTAATGCCATCACAAAACTACATGTGGATATTCATTACTCAAAGTCAAAATCAATTTGCCAACTACTTTATTCAAATGGTTCAAGGTCTAGTTAATTAAACACAATGCTATGTATAAATTAATCCAATACCTAAGGTAACATATCATCAATTTTCATTTGTTCTTCCAAACATTTCCACTAAATTCACGCTGTTTGCCATTCTTTATATGTTTCAGGTGTCTTTTAGTTACCTTTCCCTGTCGTCGATGATAAACATGTAGATTGATTCATAATGCATTTGTATTTTAATTAACTTTTAATACACTAGAGAGACCGTTATTAAAACCTTATAAACATTTTTCTTTATCTTTAAAAGTAAATCAATTAATTCTCAAGTTTTACATTATATTTAAGATAATCGTAGTTTCTTTTAAAGATATAGATGTATTTCCAGTTCATTAAGTAGAAATTAACAAAAAAATATACTTGATAAATATAAAATTAAAACTTGACAACAAACTTGAACAGCATGTCACAGACACTTCACACTAAAACGTTTGTTATAAAATTATATTTAACTTTAGACAACACGAGGATTATGGTATAATGATATACCAAATCCCAAATCCCTTTTCGAACGGCAAATGTCTGTGACCAATTCTTACCTACTTAAATACTGTTAGTCTGTTCAAACTGATAAAGGTAGTCAAAGCCATATTTGCTTTTCAAGTTGACGAATGCCTTTTATCTTGGTTTGTTTGATGTCATTTCCTTTTACTTGTTTTGTCCTTACCTGCATTTTGGTCCTTATGACCTCTTCTGTGGTAATGAGTCGTTTAGAATGTTATAATAATAATGATGATGATTTACAATCAGCTGACTATTTAAACATTTTTCAGGAAACTTTTCTGAATCATTTTGCCATAAACCAAATTTTAGGAAATCCATAATACATACATACTGTTTATAAATATTGTCTTACTTTGAAATATAAAAAAAAAAAAATCTGAAATACTGCAAGAAATGATAAATACCTAGAAACATTATTAAGCTGTTACTACGAATTAGTTACATGTTAATGAATATTTAACTTTGACGTTATCATTTTAAAGCTTCATGACGTAATATGCATTGTTCTAATTAATGTCATAATTTTGACGTCACTAAAAAAACCAAGTCATCTTACCCTTTTGATACTACACATATCACTTACTATACAGTTGTGTGACCGCACAACGCACCAAAAATAGCGTGCGCACACAGTGCATACATCGTTCACACACCGTCCGCACATCGTCCACACATGGTGCGTACAACTGTGCGATTTAACAATCGTTCGCCCTGTTGTGCGCTTCTCTCCGCACAACTGTGCGATTGGGTACAATTTGTAGATCATTATTACGGAATGAAAAAATACGAAAAGCACGTATGCAGTAGTACATTTTATTGCTGTTATTTCTTATCACAGTCATGAAGATTATGTACAGTTTTACAATGCGTGTAACACAGCATTACAGTGACCGAACAGAACAGGTAAATAACAATTTGATGAGTGACCGGGGTTTTACCTGGCTTGTACCTGACACATAGAGCTGATATGCGATACCGTACATTTAGTATTTGTTATTTGCATTCAGTTTGCCTAAAGCTCCCCTTCACCTGGGTCTTCACACCCCTGGCCCTACCCTTACAAAATACGTAAACGCCCCGGGCGGGGGAAACTACGGTCCAGGTTCATGTATCAAGTGACTATGTTTACCTGTATACGGGACTGTGTTGTAATTCCACATGTGTCGATTAGGGTCGTTTAAAACAATACCGAAAACACAATTTCTAATATTAAGAAAGTAGAGACATAAAGATAAGCTTATAGATGTTGGTAGAATCTAGAACCATACGTAAAAATCAAGTTTATTTGTTTAAACACGAAACCGTGTATATTGTTAAGGCATTCCTCAATTTACACCAACCACGATTGTTATCACACAACGTTCGTCCATCGTGCACACAAATGTGCGCAAGGAATGATCGTCCAACTTTTAATCGTTTGCACATTGTGCACACATCGTTCACACACCGTGCGCACACCACACATCTTGTAACGTTGTGCGATCCCACAACTGTACGTAACATAAGTACCGTTACATGTCAGATGCATACATTTTTTCATAAAAAATAATTTATTAGACGAGCTTAGTCAGGAAAAAAAAGAAAACTTTTGTATTAGTTTTATTAATCTCAAATGAAATAGAAATGAATTTGAAATTAAAGCATTATAAGGAAAGTATGCGAATAACCATCGAATACATATTTGTGCTATCACTGTAAAGCTTCAACGTCGTCTTGTCGATCATATGCCACTATGTTGTCTGACACTTCAATTCTTATGTCTCAAGGGAGGATATTTCTATATGCGCTCAAAGCGAACTTGCATCAGATTCGTGTTATCGTAAATGTACCAACATTCGCCCTACAGCACAGACATCGCACACATGGAGAGACGTCCTAAAATAACCACAGATGTTATAGAACATTAAACAAAATACAACCAACCTAATATTTACATATCAATGCACTAACCATCCCGTGGATGACAAACATATATCCATTACGATTAAAAGTGTAGAACAGTAGCCTTGCTTAAACAATATCTCAACATGAATGCCTGTGTATACGCGCTCTACTTTACGTGTGTGTACGTATATCAACTGTCGCAGTAAAACGTTTACTTTGTTTGACTTTCTGTATCGACAAACCTAGAAAAAACAACAACAAGGGAATACCTAAATGTCTACAATAATTCGAATTCAAAATCGATAAAAGTAGGGCAAGAATGAGGTTATATATGGTTTATCATCCATTTAGAATGTGCCTCCGTGTGTATTATCAATGCGTGCGTGAGTGTACTGGAGGTAGACATGTTAGTGGTAATACCTTCATGTGATAGAGCCGATCTGAAGCCGACTTTAAAATACTTCCCCAC